TGACAGCTCAGAGCCTGCAGCCTGCTTTGGATTCTGTGTTTCCCTCTCTCTCTGCCCCTCCCCCACTCATGCTCTGTCTCTCTCTCTCTCTCTCTCTCTCAAAAATAAATAAACATTAAAAAAACTTAAATTATATTGTATGATGGTCAAAAAATAACACAGAAGAAATCAAGCTTAAATTTATAGGTGTTTCACTGGCATAGTACTGGTTTTGTTTTAATGAAAGAACAGTCAAAATAAAATTCCATTTTAGGCATTGAGTTAATGAATGTTTGGATAAAGACATTTACAATTTTTAAGTCTTAACTAATGTTCACTGAAGCAACTTGTTTTCCTTCTGTATAATTTATATAGTGGGTGTATGTGTCCATACACAAACAAAAATTAAAAGCTACTTGGATATATTAAAAATAATTTTTACTTGCTTCAAGCTTTTTAATAATCCATTTTAGAATTATAAAACCAAATAAGTAAGATAAAATAACTTAAAATACAAATCTGAACGTTTCAACTTTTTAAACACAGTGGAAATATAACAACAAAGTGTTCCTTTTTCTTTCATTTCTGATCAGAGACAATAATTGAGAATTAATAATGTTTCTTATTATTTCCTTAACATATAATTATCTATCAACTATTTCAATAAGTGTATGCAAGTCTGTGACCTTAAATAACCCATTGAAGATTGTGGTGTGTTAAAAAACCAGCATGCAAGCAAACAAATAGAGAAAACACTTTTAGAAAGGCAAGAGGATAAAGAAGCATTAGGATTCTCAATAAGAAAACTCTTGGACACTTTTGCTCTAGGGATTTTAATAAAGATAATACAATATAGAAAATAATTAAGTCAGAATATTTCATCAATTAAGAATGGGATACTGAATTGTCAAATTAATCAACACCATTATGCTCAACTTATTTTTAACTAATCCAGATTTACTAAAGTATAAGGGGTAATATTGTGGAGAACATGTTTTATTTGCGTTCTTTAATAATACCTTTGCTATATAAGATTCATTATTATTGTGTTACTTTCCATACTTGACTCTCCTTGCAAGATGATTATAGTACCTCAAACAGCAGCAACTAGTAACTTTGCTGTAATACTTAATGACTTCTAAATAAAAACAAGTAGACAGGTTTCTATTGTTACTGCCATGATAGTCCTTATCCTTGACGTGGAGCTACTAGCTTGACTAAATTGCTAAACTTTCATAGGAAGTCCTTTCTAGCATTAGACGATAGATAGTTGTTTTAGATGAAGAAATGCTTATATTGTGAAACAAAAGAAACTGTCTTGTTGAGTGTGTGTACAATTTAAACAAATAATTTACAAAAGCTTTAGGTCTTTCCCAAGTACTTTCTTCAAGAATGATATCTATTTGATCATTAGAGCACTGTATTTAATTATTAAAAAAAAAACAAAAAAATATGGTATAAAATTTAACCACTCTTCTATGCAATGAAAGATCCAATTTATGTAGGTCTAATGTTATATGACTTTGTTTTAAATAAAAACAATATAAAATATTAACACAAAATTTGAACAATATGGATATTTTCATTGAAGAACATAATAAATGAAAATTTAGTGCTGACAAACACCACAAAATTTTCTGTTTTATAATTTTCCTATTTCTGCTTTAAAAAAATACCACAAACTCAGTTGCTTAAAACAACACAAATTTATTACCTCACAATTCTGGAAGTCAGAAGCTTGAAATTGGTCTTACATAGCTTCTATCAAATTTGTTGGCAGGGCTGTGTTCCTTCCAAAGATTTAGAGGAGAATCCATTTCATTAACAGGAAAAGAGATTCTCCTGCTTCTAGAGAATACAGGCTTCCTGCATTCTTTATCCATCTTCAAAGCTAAAGCGCAACATCCTCAAATCTGTCTCCTCTCCCACATCAGCTTCTGTCAGCACATCTCCTTCTCTGCCTCTAATTGTCCTCTTTTTCTTACAAGAACCCCATGACCACATGGGTCTCCCCCAGATACTCCACGACAATCTCCCCATATGAAGATACTTAACTTAATCACACATAAAAAGTCGCTTTCCCATATAAGTTAATACATTCACAGGTTTTAGAGATTAGTATATGACACAATACAATATAATACAATATAGAAATACAGGGTTATTAGTCTGCCGACCACACAGATTAAGTGTTGGTTCCCACAAGGTTAAGGTTCTTCTATTGTAACTGAACTTTGGTGTAATTGAACATTCTTTAAAATATACAAAATTAGGGGTATCTGGGTGGCTCAGTCAGTTGAGGGTCGGACTTGATTTCAGCTCAGATCAAGATCCCAGGGTTGTAGGATTGAGCCCCACATTGGGCTCAGTGCTCAGTATGGAGCCAGCTTGGGATTCTATCACTCTCTCTCTCTTCCTCTCTCTCTCTCTCTCTCCTTCTGCCCCTCTCACCCCGCTCACTTTCTCTCTCTCTAAAATAAAATTTAAAAATATACAAAATTAATCAGAAATTAAGGAATAACCAAAGAGTAATTAAAATGACTCTTGAAATTATTGCTACATGGTACTGAGCTACATAATTCTATAAGCAGTTTACACTTTTGATCTATTAACTGACTTCGTGAAGAATTTGAAATTTGGGAAATACCAGTTTTATAACTTCAATACATTTTTTTCCTCAGTCCATTTCACTATCACAGTGATGATCATCCATGTTATTTTTTTTCTGTAACCATCAGAATTCATACAGCTCAATGTCAGATATACTAAGGAAGCTGAAAAGGAATAATAGTCTTAACTAACTGCATTTAAATATCTTAATTTTGCAAATTTTACAAAAAATTATGAGTGTTATGTGCATACATGGTCAGGATCCATTCAGATGGGGATAGGGTTGGAACTCCAAAGTTTAGCTTCAGAGTAAAACTAACTCCAACTCTACCCCTCATATTCAACATTCATATTGTTCTTAGTTTATTTTATTTTACTTATTTTATTTTTACAAAAAAAACCTGTAAAAAATGGACATTCCATTTCTAGGTGAATGTTCTACTGAAGCAAAAGACTGATTTATCTGCCCCTGATTACAGAAGAATTAAGAGAGGTAGCAGGATAGAAGCAGGGGGTGAATTTGATGTAGGGTACAAACTCACTGTTGGGAATAGCAATGCAGGAGTTTTCCTAATGGTCAAGTAGATACCAAGAAAGGAAACGAGATTTGGGCCATTTTTCTGAAGCTTTACTCAAGAGGGGTGCCTATAGGAAAATTGATCTACCAGAAGGAAGATATTTGGGAAGGTCTCCTGGTAAGCAAAACTGAGGATGGGTAGAAAAGATTAAGCTTTGGGATGCCTGGGTGGCTCAGTTGGTTGAGGTATGACTCGATTTTGGCTCACGTCATGATCTCATGGTTTCATGGGTTAGAGTTCTGAGTAGTGCGGAGCCTGACTGCACAGAGTCTGTTTGGGATTGTCTCAGTCCCTCCCCCACTTGCATTCTCTCTCTCTCAGTCTGTCTCTCAAAACAAATATATAAACTTTTTAAATAAAAGAGAAGTTTAAACTTCATTTGAATAGTCTACATCAGAGAATCATGCAATAAAACAGCCAACGATTATCTTTCTAAAAATTTAGTCCCAATACTCAATGTATCTGCTACATGAAGGCATCCATAAGTGTGAACAGGAGACTGAAAAGATTCTATATTGACTAAAAGGCTACAACTCTGGCCAAATAAAGTGGTACTTAATTGTCTTCCTTTCCTTTACCTTTTCTTATTCCAATTAAATGGATTCACTGAGGGTAAGAAAGAGGTTTTAAGGTAGTTTGGAAATTTCATTTGAATATTAGATTGACAATTAAAACCAAATGATACTTAGTGTAATAACTAAAGCTTACCAAATGTAGTAGAATCTGCCAAAGTGGTCATTAAAGTTAAGTAAAGGATATTTTAGCAGAATATAGTTAAACTCATTTATTGGAAGTATAATTTCCAATTATATTGGAAAAACTAGGTCGTATTTATACCTTGTTGGAAATGCCTACTCAAAATATGTTAGAAATACTGAATTACTGAAGTAAAGTGTATAAACATTTAAAAATTGTTGATAGATACTTCCTTATTTACTTGCAAAAATGCTGTATCATTATTTCTACTAACCGCTTGTAAAAGTATCCAATTTCCAACATCAGTGTCGGTACTAGATGTTCTGTCAAGTCTGGTATTCTGTTTTTATTTAATAAAGTTTCTAAGGCAACTAGGTAGCTGCTGAATCTTTAATTTTATTTGATTTTATAGGCCTACTTCTATGTCAGTTCTTTATATACTTTGCCCCTTTTCATAGAAATCTATTTGCTTGATCCAAATAACTTCATATTCACATTCTCCAAAATGCAAGTGGACTGCCTCAGTGAATCATAAAGTCAAATTCTTACTAGGTTAATACGGTATCTACCTTTATTTCAGTACAGGAAAATGGGTTTGGGTTTTTTTGGGGGGGTACATTATGTTTCATAAATCAAAATTATATACTTTTGGAAGGAAAAAATAAATCTGTAGATTAAAACTCAAATTATCAATTTAACAACTTGATTATTGTTTTCCAAATTCCATTTAATTCATCAGGAAAATGTGGATAAATCTCTGCCTTCAACCCTGGTATTAACTATGTACCAAGTGGAAGTTAAGTGCTGCCTGTATATATTTTATTCGATTAGTGCCCGTGTTATTCTGATTGTTAAATATATTGAAAAAGCTTCCAGAGTTAGCTTTAAATGTCTCACTAAAAAAATGTAGAATTGGGGAGCCTGGGTGGGTGGCTCAGTCTGTTGGGCATCTGATTCTTGATTTCAGCTCAGGTCATGATCTCATGGTCCATGAGTTCGAGCCCCAAATCCCAAGTCAGGGTCTGCACTGACAGCGCAGAGCCCGCATGGAATTTTGTCTCCCTTTCTGTCTTCCTCTCTCCCTCTTGCACACTCTCTCTCTTAAAATAAATAAAAAAGTTAAAAAATGCGGAATCAATTATAGTTAAAGATGTTATACCAGGGGCCTAGGATAATATGTTAATGAAGCAGACAAAACATGGTACACCTTAACACATTTACAGTTTTGAAATCTAGTGCAATAATGGGTAACTCCAAATATATGCTTGTTTTCCAGTATTGTTTTGTTTTTGCTGCAGGATAAGGAGAGTGAAATGAGGTGTAGATTCCTATCTATGCTTTGCTTAGGTAAAGGTTAAAATTTGTTTTTACTGCCTAAAGACACACTAAATTCAAAGAAACCCAGAAATGTATGCAGATTACAGGTTGGTTTGGGATGCCTGAATGGTTGCTAATATTTCATAAAGTATTATAATACCATATATTATACTATCCAGCACTATTTAAAAATTATCTGAAGTTATGCCAAATTTAAATATGCTTTAATTCAACAGTGATATAGTTGTTAGAATGTTTCCACAGACTAAAAATATGTTTCTTTTTTTTTAAGTTTATCTATTTACTTTGAGAGAGAGGGCACACAAGCAGGCAGGGGAGAGGCAGAGAGAGAGAGGGAGAGAGAATCCCAACCAGGCTCCGTGCTGTCAGAGAACAGCCTGACGTGGGGTTCGATCTCATAAACTGTGGGATCACGACCTGAACAAAAGTCAAGAGTTGGGTGCTTAGCTGACTGAGCCACCCAGGCACCCCCAAAAATATATTTCTTAACTTTGAATCACATATTTATTAAATCTAATCTGTACAAAATACCAAATAATACTTCTTTTTCATGTTTTCATCCATTTTAATAATCAAACATTTTTAAAATTTATATTTTCAATGGCTTATTTTATTCATGTATTACATATTTAAGAATGTATTTATACTTCTCCCAGAGATCTTGGTAATTTTAAAAAGTTTATTTTTCATACTTCCCAACTTTAAAGTACTTTATTTTAATACAATAGCCTCACTCCAGTTCCCTGGATCTCCAGGCATTTAGCAGCCTAATACATTGGAAGTAGATTTTCAGAATGATGAATGGATCATTAGTTGCATAGCTTCCATTATAAGTGATAGATGAGCAAACTAACCTTGGGTTTTTATATCTTTAGAATTTTCTTTTAATATTTCTTTTGTGTAGAATTGCATTTAAAAGCAATTCTTTCATAAATGAAAGAATTTTGGCTCTCTTTTTCTTTTTAATTTGGAACCACAAAACACACAAAGCACTGTATTATACCTCCTTATATTTCTATATGATATTCCCTTGAGATAGTAAAAGGTTAGAGGAAAAGGTCTGGCATCAAGAGTTTCTTGTAAATAACCAGGGCAGGTGTTTAACTTAGATTTCTTGCCCTTATTAAAATGGAGAATGGAGGAGTCTTCACTCTATGACTTCATAGCTAATGACCTTGCACAGGTCACTGCCTGTTTCTGGACTTCAGATTTCAAATTTCTGAACAGAAGTAAATAAATTAGCTTTAGGATCTTGTCTAGGTGTAGATTATAAATGTAGGAGAAGTAGAAAATCCCTTAGGAATGGAACATACTAGTCCTGATCAGTCACTTAAATTTTAGCTTGAGTATATTGGAACCTACTGCAGTGCAGAAAACCTGATGGTTAAAAGTTAGAATGAAAACACCAATTCCATAATATTCAATGCAATTGTTATCAATAAACAGATTAGAGATTAATGTGCTGAATTTATTATTTTTAACATTGAAGTTTGGATAATATAACATTTTATAGTCATTATGATTAACATAGATAGGTTTTCCATTTCAATGGTATATAAAGTTGAAATTGTAATTCAAAGTATTTGTGTATATATATATATTTAATTTTTTTGTTTATTTATTTTGAGAGAGAGAGACAGAGCATGAGTGGGGGAGGGGCAGAGAGAGAAGGAGACACAGAATCTGAAGCAGGCTCCAGGCCTGGAGCTGTCAGCACAGAGCATGAAGCACAGCTATAACTCACAAATGGCGAGATCATAACCTGAGCTGAAGTCGGATGATTAACCTACTGAGCCACCCAGGGGCCCCATATTAGTTGTATATTTTTATGCAACTGTTTTCTATTTGACCATCTAACAACTCTCAGTATATTGATTTATTCCTTTTGGTCATCAATCTAATTTATTGTGAAATTTACATATATAGATTTGAAAAATGCAGGAAAATCTCCCTAGAACTTTAATTTTGGAAATTTTATTTTATAAATTGGCCTAAAGACCCTATTCTAGAAATGATAACTGGTCCATATGTCAAGCTATGCTACATAATCATTACATGAATTTGTAAGCTAACCAATTTGGAGCAGATATTTAAAGTTCTATATGTCAAATGGACATTTTTTTAAAAAATAGTAAATCTTGATTAAGTTTCTCTTGAGTTAGACATAATTTATATCAAGGTTATCTTGATTATAAGAATAGAATCATAATATATGATGTATACTTTAAAAGCATACACAACCTCACAATGCCAACATAAATATTTTCATTTTTTTGTTTCTTCCTATAAATTTATATGGAAATATATTTTACATTTTAAAGGTTGCCTCCTCTCCATAACACTGTATTATTAATATTATTAAATTGTTGACGTTTCTACATATTCTTTATATACATGACTTTAATAGATAAATTAATATTTTATATTTGATGTAGTAAGAGTCACCTAATGATACCCCTGACATACAGATGTTTTTTTCAGGTATGGTCATATAGTTAATGCACATAAATTAATTCACCTATGTTTATGCATGTAAGTTTAATACTTTTAATTGTTCTGAAAATCTCTTGCAAGTGAGATTCTCAGGTTAACAAATTATAAATTGTTAATTTGAATGAACTGATATGTATTGGAAGTCAAAGATTTAAAAATAATTCGCTTTTAATTTTTCCCATAGACATATGGTTCAATAAGAAAAATATTTAATGAAAATTATATAATTTAGCATGTTACTAATTGTTTTGACTTTTTCATTTATTTTATTTTTATAATCTAGTTGGAAATCTATTTTTTGGACAATTTTATTCTGTTGACTACTACCTATTGTGGGTGGCTTTAGTAACATGTTTTTAAATTTTGTAAGAACCTCGTTTCCATAGTAATCATGAAATCAAAGTTACTATAGTAAAATGAATAAAATATAGGACCAGTTTTCAAAAGTCAGTGCTTAAATCGTTTCTCCAAATTCACACATTCCTCTGGTTTTAGATGGTAGAATTTGTTATAAGATAATTTATTTTATAAAAATATATATATTTAGAGATTAATGTTAATTACTGACTGAGGACACAAAAACTTTGGATAAAATGTTTTAAAAAAATAATTTTAAATTCATTGATGAATTACCATAAACATAAAGACCTGGGAAATCTCAAAAAAAAAAAAAAAAAAAAACCTGAAAACCAGAGACCAGGGAAATAAGAAGTACCAATCCCAGCATTCTCACTGAGTGTTTCTACAAAATCTAAGATCTTGAGCCACAGCTTTGACACAATGTACAGATGCAGAAGACAGACACTGTAACAAGATGCACCCAAGATATGGAAACTAACAAGAAATTCCCATAAGAGCTGGAACTTATCCCCTAAAACAAACAAATAAGGGAGGACAAGACATACAACATTCTTTACCCAATCCTTCTCAAACTGTGTCCTCTAAAGATGTTGACAACCTAGAATATTATCAGTATCTGTTTTGACATTGCATCAAGGGGAAAAGAAAAACTACATGTACCATTTGAAACTTTAATCCTCCAAATCTGCCAAAATTCACTTTACAGGGCATGTTCCAAAATTAAGTTATTTGAAAGAACATAATTTAGGTAGGCAGAAGAAACACCGTCATATGATCTCTCAACCCAGGACATAAAGAAGCCTATAAACAAAGTTCAAAAGAAAATTAGTACCTCACTATGATACTGAACCCTTCAACAAAGAAAAACAACTTCACACACACGCATGCGCATGCACGCAGACATGCACATACACACAAAGGCACCCTACACAAAAACTAATATAAACAACAGCAGAAATAGACATACAAAGATTTCAGCTATGTAATCATCAGAAGGAAATTTAATAAAACAAATACAATATTTTTCCTGAAGAAATAGAAGAAAATTTTGAAAAAAACGAAATTTAATTTTGCATCTTTAAATTATGGCTAGACTTTTTTGAATTGATAAGTGAAGTAGTAGATTATATAAAACTGATGAAAGAATCAGTGAACTGGAAGAATGCCCCCCCCAAATATTTATATTCCTGCCCAGAATTGTATAGAGGGATTACATTACATGGAGGAAATAGTGAGAATTCTTGACATGCATTTAAACAGAGCTCTGGACAGTAGTAACAGTAAGAAGTATCACAAGGCAGCATTCAAAGAGATGATAGCTGAGTACCTATCATTTGAAAGATCTTAATCAAATTTGAGACTCCATTCATTGTCTATATATAAAGGTATGGCAGTAGTTCAGAACCTATGTTGAATAAATATTAAATGAACCAGTTCTCTTTTCTCTGTTTTAATTCCCTCTAAACACTTCTAGGAAGTTGAAGTTCAGTACAACTTCAGAACAAAGTTGGTTCAATGAATTAAGAATCCCAAGACTGACAATTTTCAAGACTTGGGGTTTGACCTAGCTGAGACATTAACTTGAACAGCTTCCTATAACAAATCCATTCCTAATCTTTCTGAGTCACCTGTGCAATTTAAAGCATGCTTAATAATCAGGACAAATTTTGAAATCACAATACTTTAAATTATTTAAATAGCCTATCTTCCCCTTCCTTATATATGCATGATTTATATGGTATATTTGCTTATATATTCAATAATATCCAACAAATGTCAAGGTCATAGTAATAATTAAACTGGGTGGGTGTGGATATGTTGTAGATGCAATTCATTTAAAGGCAAGATTTCCAAATAATAATACAATTTGATTAGTAAAAGATGGAACACAGACATGAAAGTTTTCAGTATAAATGCAAAATTTTTAAGTTGCAAAATGTTTCTCTATGATAAAACGGTTTTTCAAAAGCAAATTAATTTGAAAGATATATATAATTTAAATGAAATATGAATTATATTCATTCTAGATATCAATAAGTCAACATATTTATTCTTTCCGGAAAAGGAACAAATATGAAATTTTGATATGCTGATTAAATTAAATTGCATTATGATTCACTTTCAGTTACTAATGAGAGTAGTCAAGATATATCATCTTAATGATCAGAGTTGACAATAAAATGGTAAACAGAGCATAATTAATGAATTTCCTATTTAGCCTTCTCTGCTATTGGCATTATACCACACTAGATTGCTAGTATTAAGAACCATCTTAAAACATGCATTTTGTTTAACTGTGTGTTTATAATTGTAGCTGGAGCTCAATTAGACATTTGAGAAATTTAATGTAGAGACTCACTTGAGGTACGATAACTTTATTAATAAAGACATATTCACTTTATTGTTAATGGGTTTTAATTTTCTTTTTCTGATGTTACATAATGCACATATATGAATGTCTTTGAATGTCCTGTTTTTCTGCTGATTTTCATCTTAATTTTTACAATACTAAACAGTTCATTTGTATAAATAACCATTTTGAAGAAGAGGAAAATGACTACTAATAATATTATAATTTCATTCCATCAAAGTATTTTTAAAGTATACCAGTTTAATTCTACATTGTATATTTTTTTTAAAACACGACCTTTGGTAATTAGATACAGAGGAGCAGGGCTCTGTTCTCATCTTCAGTCATAAAGACATCACTTATGGATTTGCGACCATTACAAATTTGCAACCATTATAAAAACTGTCAAGAGAACAAACAGCATGAGTATATAAACAATCACGTCCTACTATTGAGCACATATTCTGAACTTTGTAGGTATTCTATTTCTATGTAATTTTGATGCTGAAGTAATTATTTATGCTAAAGTGTATACATATCTTTATGGCTAAGGAAAATGTGTTTTCCAACCTCTTTAAATCTAGCATGAAATGTAGATGTTTAACTTCTATCAGGTAGTAAGTATCCAGTACATCTTTAAAAATTCTAGAAACACAAATTCTCTCCTTTTTTACACAGTTTTTAATAGTTTAAAACAGAAGAATAGGGTGTAGAAATTTATTAGATGAACAGGTTTTACTCCTTCCACAAGTCTGCAAATCCACCACTGAAGATAAAACTGTAAAATACAACTTAATCACAACAACCAAGGCTAGATTATAAGGAAAAAGAATGGAAAATTATACTGCCCTCTAAGTATTACATATGAAGAAATCCTCATTGTTAGACTGTCTGTTGGTGTTTAGCTCCATGAAAATCCAATTTTAAAAACTGTCTTTAAATTTTTCTAATAAATTAATCTCTAGAAATAATATTAATGGTAAGTTTTAAGAATACTGTTCAAAATAAATTGATGAAATAGTATATTACTAGTTAATAACATGGGGATAAAATAATGTAATACAAATTCATTTATTCCACTCAACACTATACTATAAAAGCTAAAATAGCTTGAAACAAGATTTACAAAAATTGGTCCACCTTAAAATTGTAGCTTTTGTTTTTTTTAATTTTTAATTTTATTTATTATTTGTAAAGATTTTATCTTATTTTATAAAATATGTATTTATTTTGAGAGAGAGAGAGCATGCTAAAGCAGAGCTGGGACAGAGAGAGGGAGAGAGAGAATCCAAAGCAGGCTCTGTGTTGTCAGCACAAAGCCTGATATAAAGCTGTGAGATTTGACCTGAGCCAAAATCAAGAGTAGGATGCTTAATCAACTGAGCCACCCAAGTGACCTAAATTTTAAGTAATCTCTAGACCCAATGTGGGAGTCAAATTCACAACCCCGAGATCAAGAGTTCGGTACACTTTACTGAATGAGCCAGCTAGGTGCCCCAAAACTGTACCTTTTAATCTAGCTATTTAACTATCTTTCCATTCATCTGCACCTTCTCTTTTTCATTATATAACAACTTATTTATGTTGTTTTAATATTTATGTAATAAAAATAGTAAGTCATTTCTCCAGATTATTTTGATAATACAGATCCAGATGATGACTGTTCTTTATCTGAATATAAAATATCACATTGTACAGTAATTTTAAAGTTTCAAGTTGACTATAATTTTCCAATAAATTTTAACACATAGGATTTTTTTTTGTGTGGAAAATAAGAAGATAGGAAAGCAATAAGTCTTTAACAGTTTTTTATAATCTAGTAACCAACATTTTTATAAAATGTAAATTTTAAAATTATATTCCTCTCATTGATGTTCAGTAAAGAGAAAAAAAACCCCACTTATTATTATGTCTGCCCTTCCACCCCTATCAGCTTGATCCTTAACACTGCCATTTGGATGCTCTTGAATTAAAAACCTAGACACCTAAAAAAATTGAATGTTCTGATAATATCATGAGTGTTTTTTGATATAATCGAAGTACACTACTTGTTTTAATAATTAGAAGCAATAGAACATTCCCAACACAAATGGAACCATCACTTATTGCTATAAGCAATATAATACTGAAACCCAATACACAGACGCAGATTACATGCCATCCACTCACCTCTATTCCCAAAGTCATAGATTTTTCAAACTTTGTAATATAGCATTACTTATCATTAAGTCAGCTGCTATGCTGCCTAGTTATACATGTCAATACTATACAGAAATCAATTCCAAATGATGATGACTAGCTTTTCATAAAGAATGTTACATGACTAAAACAAATAGAAAATAGGTGTCTAGAAGTTCAGGAAGAAAAAAGTAGAGTGGTCCTTCATAGAAGGAAAGAAATCTACTATAGTATTCTAGGTGTTAGAACACTACATAGGGAGTTCCATAATTTAATTACAACCTGGAAACCTGCATCATGAATAATTTAAAAATTTATGAAAGTGTGTATCTTCTTCAGATTGTAAGTAGTCCAAGTTGGCACATGAAGGCAGTCTTTTATATTCATTGCTGATGGTCTGAGAAAATATGATACAGACTTACTACCTTCCTCATATACAGACATGCATTTATATTTTAATGGGAATACTGGAATTTAGATAGCTAAGATTATATCTGCACCAAAGTGAGATAAGAAACTTTTACAGAAGGCTAGAAGCATTGTATTTACACCCAGAATTTAGAATTATAGTAGTTTGAGGATTACTTTTTATTGTGGTAAAATAAACACAATAGAAAATTCACCAATTTAATCACTCTGAAACATACATAGGCATTAAGTGCATTAACATTGTTGTGCAACAGTTCTTAGAGTATTTTTAATCAACATCACATGAAAGAACAACTGAACAAAATAGGACCCAAAACTGCTTTAATCTACTGATAATTGCAAATGGATCAATGGACCAACATTATTTTAACTACTGTTGTCAATCAATTATGGGGAATCCTAACATGCTTGTAAGACTCTTGGAACAGTCAGCTACATCTAAGAATCCTTAGCCCATTTGACTGACTGTCCAAATAAACACATTGATTTCTTTATACTGTTCCATAAATGCCTCTTGATTATTCTTTCCATTTAAACTCAGATTCTTTACTCAAATTTTGGGGCCCAGTGGAACATTATAATCTGAGTAATGATTTTTATTTCACCTATCTACCAGACAATATCTTTCATAATATTGCTATTGATTTTTGGCACATATTACATGAGGGATGTGTTGTATGTGTTTCTTCTTTTTTTTTTTTTTTCCTTCAAGACTGTGGACAGTGTAATGACAATGATACTTTTAAATGTAATAGACTTCCATGGGTGTTAAATGATGGGTTTAGATGTTATCTTTAAAAAATGTGTATTATTGTAATATTTAGGAGATATCATTTATGAAAACTTAGCATGGTTTTCATAACCATTAATCTGATCCTAAGACATACTCAAAATCAATAAATTATTTCTTGGAACAAGTAACATAAAAAATATGAAAATTATGATGTGTCCTTGATTGAAATCTAATGCATTTAATAGAATGGCACAAAATACTTGGTAAATCTGGAATAATTTTTGGATATTTTCCAAATCTTGTTAACTATTCTTCTGAATATGACTTTATCCAAAGCAAGAGGTACGGTATATAATTAGAGAATATTTCTCTGTTTGCTTTATGTTTGACAGTTTGGTTTTTTTTTCATGTAGGTATTAAAATACACATTTGATTTTCATTTCATGTCAGGTTTTTATTTAAAAAAATTTACTTGTAGTATCTCATAACTCACCAGTATTTCATACTCTTAATATTTTATGCAAATATTCATTTACTTTTGAATTTTGAGGGTGAACTATTACATAGTCACTATTATACAGATTTCAATTAAGAAACAGTTAACAATGTTCAAATATTTTTAGTCATCTACCATGACTAGAACAAGAATTGTACACTACAAAGTAATCATTGTTCATATACCCATTACTCACTTTTCTAACACATAATAAGAATGACTTATTTGCCTGCTTAATAGCATATGGCTTTTAGTTTGTATAGTGCTGCTGTTGATAGAGGGAACAGATTGTTCCAATTCCTGGTTTGTCAATGCAGTATCACATATTTGTCATGTGGACAACCTTCCTTCAAATGCTATTTTCTAGTTTGTTTTACAGGCAATAATTGAATGCCATTCCATTTACTAAAGATTTTCTTTCAAATCTGTTTCCCAGTTCTACACCTTTTTCCTTTTAGTTTTCTTTTATTCTTATTCATGTAAATTAGTCTCTAGAGAATAATTTAGAGTGATTCACTCTTAGTTGATGGTAAAATACACACACACACACACACACACACACCTTCTACAAATAAATTACCTCTTTCATATCCAGTGTTTTTTGTACTGTTCAGGTACACTTAGTAGTACAGACCTGAAAAGCATCTCCCAGAGAACATTTGTTTTTGAGTATCATTGATAATCTGTCCAGATGTAGTGAAAAGGAATGTCTATGGATAGATATCAAGCTTTCTCCTTTAGAATTTAAGATAAAAAGAGGGTGCCTGGATGGCTCAGTTGATTGAGTCCCTAGCTCTTGATTTCAGCTCAGGTCCTGATCCCAAGGTTGTGAGATCGAACCCTGTGTTGGCCTCCACTCTGAGCGTGGAGACTGCTTAAGATTCTCTTTCTCTCTCCCTCTGTCCCTCTAACTCCCACCTGGCGGTCTCTCTCTCTCTCTCCAAAATAATAATAATGATAGAAGATAAAAAGGAATGAAAAAATAATGAATTTAAAAATTAACTAAAAACAGTGTCAACGTAAAACTCCCAAGTTTTAAGAATTGTCTTTTCCACTGAGAATTTATAATGATGATGGAACTTATTTCATTAAAAACATAAAAGTCTAGCTTTTGTGTCCAGAGATTGTTTAATATAGTGCACATTATGAGTTCTTTCTAAATCCCAGCTCTGCTCCTCAGGTAGAAATAGGAAAGCACAAGAAACTGGAATGAGGCCAGGATGACCAATGACTATTAAAATATATATCCTAACCAAGACCTTATTTGTGACCTCTAAATCCACATGTTTAACTACATGCCTGAAATATTTGTGAAAAGCACTTAATGTTCAACATGTTCAAAACACACTTAACAATATTTACTATCGCTACCTCTTTGCCAGTGAGTGATACTCATACAGTGCTACAGGGAGAGTGATTCAGGCGCATTCTTGGCACATATTTTGACTTCCTTCCCCAAATACTACTTATCATGCATCCTGTTGATTCTGTTTAGTGAATGTATATTAAATCTGAACACATATCTCAAAATACATTGTTTTAGTCCAAACCATTTCTAGCTTACCCTGCTACAATTGACCCTTAGCTGGTGTATCTGCATTCATTGTTATAGTCTCCCCATCTCATATTTCCCAAGAGTGGGAGTGATATTTTCAAGATACAATCAGGTCATTTTTTTTTCAGTAAACCTCCAAAGGAAACTTAAATATTGAAATTTCTGGACCTATGCACACTCCCATCACCACCAATTTCTTACCAACTCTAAAATCTCTAGCCATCTTGGCTTTCCTTCAGTTTCTCAGAAATGCTAAGCTTCCTGTCTTCAAAAGCCACATGTCCATTCCATTTTCTCTGCTGAACCCCACCTTCTTCCACCTTTGCCTGCTTATGATTTATACAGCCATCCCTACATTCCACACTCGATCTGTTCCCCATTGTACATGCTCTCATTCTGGTTGTACCTTTCCTTCATGATACTTAACGTAGTTTGCAATGAACCTATTATGGGTTGAACTGTATTCTCCAAGAAGATGTGTTGAAGCTCTAATCCTCAGTATTTCAGAATGACCTTACTTGGGAAAAGGGTCTTTGCAGATGTAACTAGTTAAGATAAATTCAATCGGAATAAGGTGGGCTTTTAATCCAGTAATGGTCTGTGTCTTTACAAGACAAGAAGCAGAAACCCACACATGTGAAGATATAGAGACACTCAGGCACAGAAAGTAAAATAGGATGTAAAGATGAAGGCAGAGATTGGAGTAATGCTGTCACAAGCCAAGGAAAGCCTGAGGCTACCAGGAGCTAGAAGAGGCAAGAGAGGATTCTCCCCTACAGGTTCAGGTTGGGCATGGCCCTGCCAACACGTTGATTTCTGACTTCTAGCATCAAACTGTGAGAAGATAAATTTCTGTTATTTCAAACTACCCAATTTGTGGTTCTGTGTTATGGCCGCCCTGCAAACCTAACATAATATGTTTAGTGATTAACACCTACCTCACCTGCTAAACCGTAAGTTTTATGAAGGCAGGAGACTTGTGTGCTTTTTGCTCACTATTACATTTCTAGCACCTACCCCACAATATCTGCTTACACAATAGTGTCTAATAGATATTTTTAAAGTTCATTTATTTATTTTTGAGAGAGAGAGAGGGAGGGAGAGAAAAGGAGAGGGGCAGAGAGAGAGAGAATCCCAAGAAAACTACTTGCTGCTGTCAGTGAGACCAACGCAGAGATCATGACCTGAGTTTAACCAAGAGTCAGACACTTAACCAAATGAGCCATCCAGAATCCCCTACCCATTTTTGAATAAATGAACATACCATACAAGTTAACTCATAGGAAGCACTTCTTTGTATTTGGTTTTGATACAAAATAAATAAAACTATCGGTGCTTTCTGAAAGTAACTCAATTAGAAAATTTATGCATTATTAAAATTGACATAAAAATGAAAATAATAGTTTGATGCACCCCAAAGTATATATGATATGAATCAGTTTCAATTAAAAAAATGGAACTCTATTGAAAAAGGTAAGCAGGTTTTTCATTCAGCATTTTATATATAATTTAAAATATTATATTAATATTCAGTATAAAACTGAGGTTCCTATTGGTGCAGAGTATTTATCTTAATAGGCTCCATTTTTCCATGTCAAGCTGTAGTGCTCTCAGTACATTGCAAGGATTGACTCAATCTTTGATGACTATTCAAACAGAAATTTAAAATAATACAATCAGAAAACTATAAATCAATGCTGTGTGGAAAGACATACCTTACAGCAAAAGAAAGATTGACATGTCTCATGACACAATGTAAAGATGTAAATAATGAAAAATGGATTAAAACTGTTAATACTATAGTTATTTCCAGATCTGCCATTATCATTGCACTCTATCAATGAACCTGACGTGTAAGAGACAGGCTAGCATAGTGGATATGAACTCTAGCTCTGGAGACAAATTACCTGAATTTGAATGACACTTGTAAGTTAGATACAATCAGGTTACTTTCCAAATAGGGTTGCTGCGAAGAAAAAATGTTAATTCAAACAAAATTCTTGGAAATGTGTCTAAAACACACTATGTTCATATTGATGCTTAACTGCAAAACTATAGGGGACTTCACATATGTAATGTTTCAAAATGTTCCAGCCAAAAAAAAATGTAAATCAATATTTAAAAATTATATTGTCTTTGGCTATAAAATTTTTCATTTCATTTGATTCTTTTCCCTTATACTAATTCAGGCACTGAATTTGTTTGATGGCACAATCCTATTAGCAAAAGGCTTTCAAGCTAATAAGCAAATAAATACATGCATTTCTTTTTTTTTTTTTTAATTTTTTTTCAACGTTTATTTATTTTTGGGACAGAGAGAGACAGAGCATGAACGGGGGAGGGTCAGAGAGAGAGGGAGACACAGAATCGGAAACAGGCTCCAGGCTCTGAGCCATCAGCCCAGAGCCTGACACGGGGCTCGAACTCCCGGACCGCGAGATCGTGACCTGGCTGAAGTCGGACGCTTAACCGACTGCGCCACCCAGGCGCCCCTACATGCATTTCTATATAGCATAAAAAATTATAAAACATTTTAAAATGAGATAATCACACATATAAAGACAATGTTTAGTATCTCTACTTGTTCCATGTAAAGCAATTTGTACACTTGCTAGCATATTTCATATACTCCAATTCGGTGACCACTGCATAAGACAATGCATTCTAGAAACAAAGAACCAAATCCTTATTGCCTTCCATTGTGTTAATTGTGTCTATTATAGAATCTGACACATAGAGATAATCAATAAATATGTTATAGGAATGTAGAAATAAATGAATACATGTATCCCAGAGCAGATATATACTTTTGCAAACATTATACATATTGTCCAGAAACTAAGTCTTAAGTAGACAGAATAATTAAGTAAGAACTAAATCTTCAAATTCTAAATCCAATACTCTTTAACTCAGGTCAACTCATCCACCTAGAAATACAGATAAAAGATATACAAGGGGTGCTGGATTCCTTGGTCAACTGAGGGTCCGACTCTTGATTTCAGCTCTGGTCATGATCCCAGGTTCATGGGATCAAGGCTGTATCAGGCTCTGAGCTGAGCGTTGGGCCTGCTTAAGATTCACTCTCTCTCTCCTCCCCCACCCCTCTCCCCACCTCATGCTCTCTCTTTTCCTCTCTCTTAAAATAAAATAAAATAAATCTTTGGGGCCCCTGGGTGGCTCAGTCAGTTAAGCATCTTGATTTTGGCTCAGATCATGGTCTCAGGGTTAGTGGGATCAAGCCCCACATTGGGCTACTGGCTGTCAGTATGGAGCCTGCTTGGGATTCTCTCTCTCTCTCTCTCTCTCTCTCTCTCTCTCTCATGCTCTCATGCTCATGCTCTCTCTTTCTAAATAAACACTCAAATTAAACATATAAAAATAAAATCCATTAAAAACCCAAATATTCAATTGTGAAATATCTTCTTATTAAACATTTGCTATAATAAAAATAATAATTTACCTATTTTGAGATTCTGAAATCATAAAATATTAGTAGGACGTTCATGTCTATAGCCTATGAAACTGATCAGATGGTTAATGACACCTTTCACCCTACCAATAATTAAAACACTCCTCTGTAAAATGTCTATTATATCTCACAAGTTATTTACTATTTTTTGTCTTCCATTTTTAAAGTCTCTTTTCCGGCCTCTCCACTTACAGTGTTATTATAGTCTACTTGAGTATGACTTTCAACAGGCTCAAGCAAGGAGAATAGGTGTGATTCCACGCCCTGATGACTGAGCAACTACTAGAGGAGAAAGGGAAAATCATCAGATAATGTTACTATCGTGTTTAATTCATATTTGACAAATAAACACGAGTCCATTTTGTTAGTTTTTGAAGACAGATAACTGCTAAAACAAAAAAATCATATTACTTAGCTTCCTATCTACTGTCAGCAATATAACCTTATTTTTTACTGGTGGTATTCCTTCTGGTAAAAGTCATGGCTCACCCCCTTCTCTTTTATAAATCAATTTTCAAAATCAGCAAATTTTTAGCAGAAAATAAAGCAATGTATTTTGCTTCACATTTGGAGGCATCTCTGCCACACAATTGGTTTTTTTTTTAATTTTTTTAATCTTTATTTATTTTTGAGACAGAGAGAGAGACAGAGTGAAAGCAGGGGAGGAACAGAGAGAGAAGGAGGGAGACACAGAATCCAAAGCAGACTCCTGCTCTGAGCTGTCAGCACAGAGCCCGATGCAGGGCTCGAACTCGTGAACCGCAAGATCATGACCTGAGCCAAAGTAGGACACTTACCTGAACCACCCAGGTGCCCCATTCCTTTTAACTTGTATTAAAGAAAGTTAATGAACTGTAATTTTATTGTGTGCAGCATTTGGCACACAAAAAGGTATGAGGGATTGATAGGCAATAGCTCAACAAGTTATGTTAAATGTGATTATCTCTACTTTTCAAAAGTTTGCATACAAACTGTCTTTAATAGTTCATATTTTTAATTTAGTGGGCTAAGTATTCATTATTGATTCTCTGACAAACCTATATATCATGTGATATGAAACTAAAACTTATAAAGGCAAAAATATGCATATCCCCGGGAATACCTGTAGACTTATTTTTGGAAATATATAGTTGATTTCTAGTTTAATATATTTTTCTGACATATAGATTTAACCACGAACTTTTTTTAAGCTTATTTATTGAGAGAGAGAGAGAGAGAGAGAGAGAGAGCACAAGTGGGGGAAGGGTAAAGAAGGAAGAGGAGAGAGAATTCTAAGCAGGTTCTGCCCTGTCAACACTGAACCCAGCGTGAGGCTAGAACTCACGAACTGTGAGATCATGTCCTGAGCCAAAATCAAGAATCTGACGCTTAACCAAATGATCCACCTAGGTGCCCCTCATGAACTGTTTTAAGGGTAGAATGTAAAGTATGTATTTTGTAAATAATATATATAATTTCTATTGTATAATTAACTGATCTCTTATTCTTTGTAAAATGGAAGTGCTTAAAGCATTATTATTATAAAATTAACATAATTAACTACACTTATTGAGGTTGTGACTAAAACACAACTTAAGACAAAATTAGGCTGAACCATTCACAGCTTTTATAGTCTCTGGCAATAACCTTAGATTATCTAAAGTTTTCCCTAAGTAAAATGTAGATAATAATGGTACCTGCCTGATTAAAAATCATATTCTTCTTGTATTATGAATACACAATCAAATCAAAATATGAAGTTAGAAGCAATGTGATGTAGGGCTATGCTATTATCTTGTGAGTCTCCACTCAATGGATATTTATTATCACTTTTAGCTATATGCTTTTTGTTTCTAGCTTCTGTTTTGCAATGAATTATGTTGTCTTTATTCTCTATTTCAAAATGTTACTATATTTTCTTAGCATAAAATCATCCTTAATCCTTAATAATATTCCTATTCCCTTCAGATATCCCAGAAGCTTGTAACTAC